GGGAAAGAGAGGGGAGAGAGAGAGAGAGTATAAGTTCTTGGAGAAAAAAAGAACCTGAAAGCCTAGCAACAGAGTTCCAACGGCCTTCACCGTGGAGCCTAACATACTCCATGAGAAGTCTGTCTTCTTCACTGGTCCATGGCCCTTTCCTCCAGCCTTCTTCCACCACTCCCCATCCTGCCACGTGTCCACCTCCCCATGAACTCATCCTTCTTCTTTCTTCACAACTCAATGAATCAAAACTAGGGCAAGTATTGTTTATTAAGACAGAAAGATATGCGCAATGTCTCTTGCCTTTAGGACAAATCTCTCTCTGTTTTGTTTTTGTTGTTTGTGTTCTTTTTCCTCCTCGCCCTCTCTCATTTATATATGCACTTAAAAGTCCCACTTCAGGGTCCACCATTTTTTCTTCTCTCAACTTTAATCTTGTCTCTTATCAGTAACCAAAGGAAAATAAAAATGCGATTTTTTTTCTTTATTATAATCAAGAACGAAAATGTACTTTTATATGGGCCAATATTTTCATATCAGAGAGAACCCAACCAAAAAAAAAACAAAGTGAATGAGTGAGTGATTCAAATAAGTTAAAATATTTGATGGAATCTGGTTATAGTTTCAATTCAACCGGTTACCATGCAGTGAGCTCAATTACATTACATATATGAAGAATACCAAAAATATTTGTTTAAAAAAAATTATAAATTCTCATAAGAATATAATTTCTTGTTTTATAAAGCGAAATGTTAAAATTCATTTACGAAAAACGAGTTAGAATATTTGTTGCCCCTCGTAATTCTATATGCTCTCTTTGAAGTTTGAACTTTTAATCCGTCGTTTTCTGAGTGGTATATATCCTTTCATATGTATGTGCATGAAACTGTTCTATATTTACCATCATATCATAACGTAAATTACGAAATTACCCTTCTCATCTCATCATCTAATCTCTGTATTTTTCCGGCATAGATTGCATCAATTGGTCTTATAATATATATATATATATATATATGTATATATATAAGCTTGGTTTGATATTAGCTCGTGATCTTTTCTCTAATGATATAGAACAAATAATCAACTCCTCGAATTTCTAACTTACAATATTGTTTCCTTTAACCACTTAATTGCATATGGTTAAGATTTATATATGTTTGATGAATAAGAACTATATATATATATAGCACAAATTTATAAGGATTAATTATCGCGTATAAATAATCCCATGAAATGATAATCAACTATGAAAACGATAAATGATCAATCACAACAATAAAGATAATTACATACGTGAAAATCTAAAATAAAAATACCATATATATAATTAAACGAATATATATATATATATATATATATATATAATAATTCGTCCCGTAGAACTTGATTGATTTATGTGGAAATTAATTAAATAAACCAATAATGAAGGGTCGATGGTAGTCAATCTGATAAAAAAACATGCTTGTTTAAGATGCAAATTTATAATATCATATGGAATTGTACTTGATTTGTAACAACCATATATTCTTTCACCAACATGTAAGAATGTTTAATAATTTAAATCCACACACACACACACACATATATATATATATATGATTGTATATAACTAAAAATAGTAATGCAATATACTTCGAAAGAAAATGTTTGCCACATATACCAAATAAGGGCATTATAGGGATTTAAAAAAGAATGTTAAGGCATTGGGTAACATGTTATAACAAGGCATCAAATCCCATAGAATAATCTTCTTTATGCGAAAGTTACTTACAAAAAGCTTCATCAACTTCTATTTTTGTGCCACGTATATAACCTACGGGTTATATATATGTAGACATATATATAGTCATTAAAGCAAAAAAATTATATTAATAAAAAAAACATAATGGTGGTGGAGTATTTATTTTAAGTTGATAAACACAATTGGACCAATGGGACTTCTCCAAGTGTTGGACGATTCACTAATGCGATCTTTGCCCTATAATCTTTTTTGTTTCGTATAAGATTCGTTGGATTCCACACAAGGAGATGTGGCAATTTAAAATAAAAATATTATTATTATTTTATTTTTGTTGTGAAATAGTTGATGGTTTTGGTACGTCACCACTAGACAGGTGGCTTTATATATATATATATATATAGTTTTCGTCCCTTGGAGATATTTGTAAGATTGTGCTTTTCCATGTGATCCTTTTCAAATATTTAGTAACTCTAATTCATTTTTATATACATGCTAGATTTATACAAGTGGGAAATCTTTTTTGGATAAATATTAATAAACAACCATCGATCGTATCTATTTATATCCGAACAGATAATAATAAATACAATTTAAGATCAATAGATGTTTCATTCATATTTAAAAAAAAAGTAAATAGATTTCTAATTGTAATGGAATTAGATTTCTAATCGTTTTTAAGTATGAATATATTTACAATGAATCTCGATCCTTTTATATATGTGTTCTCATCTTCCTGCTATAAAATAATAAATTTGTAGAAAAAATTTTATATTTAAAATTAAATATATTTTATTGATTGAATTCATAATTAATATGGAAACTTGGTATTATTTATGAGCTATTAATATTTGATATGCTCCAAACTTTCAAGTTGATTTCCAATAAACAATTTTTGTAAATCAAATATTAATTATACTTCATTGATTTTTTTTATAACAATATAAATTAGATTTTTTTTAATAAGTACGATTTCTTTGTCAAAATTAATAGTTGATGGATTTTTATAATAAATATAAAACTAAAAATTTTAAAACAAATTAAATTATTGATGTTTTAAAATTTCCAGAAATTTTAGTTCGGCTTTATTTTGTGGCAATGCTAATATGTTTAATAATCATATAATATTTTTAACGTAAAAATGAAAAATCAAGAAATTGCAAAAAAAGTTGAGGGTACTTCGACGGCTAAGAGACTATCCCCGCACGGCGTCAGCAACATCGTCCATTGCTTATCCATAATCAATTCCTTAATCTCTTTGATTAGACACTAATTATTTTTTTAATTGAGGCATCTAAAAATCATTCATCAACTTAAACTCCGTGTCTCGTACGGATATTTTTTTTCTAATTAATTTAAAAGCTCTTTTTGTACTGCAAAAACATGTTTCACAGCTAAGTAAGCAGATGCATGCCCCAAGTGATTTTGCAAAGATTTGCTTTTCTCATAAAATATTTTCCTTGTTATTTGTTTTATATTGTGACATGTATATGTACTATATATATATATTATACTATAGCCATATCTTTGTATGATCTATGTATCATATTTAAACTATTTATTTTTCGTTCATACCAAAAAAAACTATTTATTTTCGATATTTGTATCTTATAAAAGGAAGACTATTTTGTTGTATTCATTTAATAAATTTGCAAATTTTGGCATCTTAAAACCAAACAACTATAAACGATATTTATATATGTTGTATCTACAATTTTTATTAAAAGATATGAACAATCTTATATAAATATCCCAACTTTTCAAATTGAATAAGATAAACATCTTAACCTTTAATTTGACAATATAATATTCTAAATGTTAAAATGTGTAAAATTAGTACGTCAACTTTTGAAATTAAGGATAATTCGTAATCAATACCTTTATAGTTCAAAAATGTCTAAATCGATTTGGATCTTGGTTGAGCAATTGAGTTATTAATTTAATACAATTATTGGAATTGATATACTAGTTTGGTATATTTTACAACATCTGAGTTATTTTTTTTTTATCAAATTAAAAATTAAGGTATTTTTTTACCAAAAAAAAATTAAGGTATTTATTTAATACATTTTAAAAAATCAAAGTATTTATATGAAATTTTTCTTAAAAACATAAATCTGTTTTTATGTCTTATTCTTTAATGTTTCTTAAATACTACAATATTATTGAAATGTTTATTGTATTTATTTTAATTTTCCACTAGTTTTGTGCTTTTGCCTTTTGGGTGGCTTTTCACTGTTATAACAAGTTGCACGATTCTATGATATGTATACTATTATTATTATTATTATTATTATTATTATTATTATTATTATTATTATTATTATTATTATTATTATTATTATTATTATTATTATTATTATTATTTAGCTACTATATTGTTGTTCCTATCTTAATTGAAAGTGCACATGATGCGTACTTGGCATGCCATCTCCTAAAATCTTTTGGCAAATCATTGTTATTCTCACGTTTTTATCATAATTAATAAATAATTACGCACGTAATTATTCACGTCTTAAAATGCATAACTTCAATTTATAATTCGATTATAATTGGAATTATTTGTTTGTTTTATTTACCAGTGCTAACATTAACCAGTCCAAACCATTGGGCGGTCGACACGTGCCTAAATCGTTGGTCAGTGTATTTACTATTGATTATTGCTGATTCCCTCCCTCATGGTATTTACTATTGGTTAGTGTTAATAAATCCTTAATTAATATATACATATATATAAGATTTTATTAAATATATATGGATTGATAATTTAATCTATTGTAACATTTATAGAATTTGAATTGATCTTATCATAAATTATATGCATTAATTTTTCAACTATTAGATTAGCTAAAATTCTACAGATTTGTAGCATAATATCATCACTTAAAATTTGATCTTGTGATTCTAAACTTTGTAACAAATCATAATATTTTTTAAACAAATCTTATATAAATCACACACACACACACACACACACATATATATATATATATATATATATATCTAAAATATGATGATCCATATCTATGGAGGGGGCACGGGAGAATACTTAATAGAAGAAAAAACTTAACTTTACCATAAACATCATGATCTTGTATTGAAATTTCTACTAAGAGAATCAATTATTTCTTGAAGCTTTTGGACTCTTTTTAATAATCATCTTTATTTTTTAATATTTTATTTTATGAATATGAATCAGAGTTTCACTAACTTCCAACTCATTATTTTAGTAATTTATTTTTTGTTGCTATTGTTGCCGTTTTGTTTGTTTTTTATAAGATGACATTTTTGTGGGCCTAAGGATTTTGTTAACGATTAATTATATTATTATAGTTTTATTCGAACACATTATTATATAAAGAAATTTAACTAAATATGATTAATCTTCAATCATATATGATCTTATTACTACTAATATAGATCCGATTATTATATAACCTAAAACCCATTATTTGTTAAACTAACTAATATGCTGTCACGACGTTGTCACATTCATATCGTCGTAAGCATTTATTTTGTTATATTCTATAGTTCTAATAAGATTTTCTATTATAAATTTCAATTTTATCGTTTAAAAT